TTGGGGATCCAAAAGAGAAAAGGAAGTAGAAAGTATCTCCTTTCTAGATGGTCTTGTTCTGTAACTTAGTTGTCTTGGTAACTTCTTCAGAAACAAACTGGTCAACCATCAGGAAAAATGAAGCTGGTCATGAAAAGCTGGCTGTTCTTTTGTTAGGGGTCCTTTAGCTTAGTTTCCCGAGAATGCATTTCTTTGGACTAGCTGGGACTTCTCCTCCCTTCCCATGCCTGTCATCACAGAAAACAAGAGGCTTAGGCCCCGGCATTTTGTTTTCTCAGTAAACCAGGTAAGTCTGGAAAAGTCTTTGAGGAACGTAAATTTCTTCTGCTCTGAGACGTGTTGGCATTTAGAGAGGCATCTCTGGACTTTTGAACTTGGAAGGGCCCTTTGATATAATATTTGTCTACTTTTTGTTTAGAAGAGAAAACAAAGCCCTAGTCAGTGATGGCGAACCTTTTGAGCTCCGCGTGTCAGCATTTTGAAAAACCCTAACTTAACTCTGGTGCCGTGTCACATAGAGAAATTTTTTGATATTTGCAGCCATAGTAAAACAAAGATGTATATTTTTGATATTTATTTTATATGTTTAAATGCCATTTAACAAAGAAAAATCAACCAAAAAAATGAGTTCGCGTGTCACCTCTGACACGCATGTCATAGGTTCGCCATCACTGCCCTAGAGAGAAGCGAGGCTGCACTGGAAACACAAGTGGTCTGATAACTACCCTCTGTGCTGTGCTGTGTGCTAGCTCACGCTGCACTTTGTTTTGAATTGGCTGTCTCTTTTTTGTTTTTTCTTTAAAATACATTTTAAGGATTTTTACAGAGAGGAAGGGAGAGGGATAGAGTGTTAGAAACATGGATGATGGATGAGACAGAAACATCCATCAGCTGCCTTCTGCACGCCCCCTAGTGGGGATCGAGCCTGCAACCAAGGTACTCGCCCTTGACCAGAATCCAACCCAGGACCCTTCAGTCCGCAGGCCGACGCTCTATCCACTGAGCCAAACCAATTAGGGCTGGCTGTCTCTCTTGTAAGACCACAAATCCCACCTGCTTGTTTTGCCAGCTAAAGTCTCCTGTCGCCATTGTTAAACTGATGGTCTCCTCTTGCCTCAATCTCCTTGTCCCCTTCTCAGGTGGATCGCATGTCCTTTCCATGTGGCTGCTCCCGGGATGGCTGTGGGAACATGGCTGGGCGCATTGAATTTAATCCAATCAGAGTTCGGACTCATTACCTCCACACCATCATGAAGCTGGAGCTGGAGAGCAAGCGGCAGGTGAGCCGCCCACCCGCCCCAGATGAGGAGCCCTCACCCACCGCCAGCTGCAGCCTGATAGGAGCCCAGGGCTCTGAGACACAGGACTTCCAGGAGTTCATTGCTGAGAATGAGACTGCGGTGATGCACCTACAGAGTGCGGAGGAACTGGAGCGGCTCAAGGCAGAGGAAGACTCCAGTGGCTCTAGTGCCAGCGTGGACTCCAGCATAGAGAGCCTGGGCGTGTGTATCCTGGAGGAGCCCCTGGCTGTTCCTGAAGAGCTGTGCCCAGGCCTGACGGCTCCCATTCTCATCCAGGCTCAGCTGACCCCAGGCTCCTCCGTCCTGTGTTTTGCTGAGAACGCGGACCACCCAACTGCCTCAGCAGCGACCAGCCCATCCTACTTGAACAGCGGGCCCCTGGTCTATTACCAGGTGGAGCAGAGGCCAGTCCTGGGGGTGAAAGGAGAGCCTAGTCCAGGAGAAGCCCCACCCTCTCTCCCCAAGGAGAAGGATCTCAATGTCTTCTCTGTCCCTGTTACCTCACTGGTGGCTTGTAGCCCCACAGACCCAGCCCTGTGTCAACCAGAGGCAGGGAAAGCATCCACTCTAGAAGCACTGGTGCCCGAAGATTGTATCCCTGAGGAGCGGGAGAATGAAGACTTTCGCCCCTCGTGGTCGCCCTCAAACCTCCCCTTCGGCACGGACAGCGAAGAGGGCTGTGTGGTGGAGAAGACCCCACAGCCCAGCGAGGACCGGCCCCCTGAAGATTCACCCCTGGACCTCCCTCTGGCAGTGTGATGCGGGCATGCAGATTCTGCCTCTTACCCGTTCTCTATTTATTCCCTTATTTTATCTAGCACCATTTCAGAAAACTGTAGAAGCAGCTGCTGCTCCCATGTTATTTTATTGGGGTCTTTGGGGGGGCGGGTGGGAAAGGATTGTTTATACAGTATTTTTTAAAGGTAAACAGAACCAAGGAGACCAGCCCCAGCTTGGTCTGGGGACAGTCTTGGGGCAGAGAAGGCCACATAGTGCTGAATGCTGTTTTCTGGGCCATTGGAACAAAGAACTAGGATCTCATAGACACTAGGTAACTCAAGCAGCTATTCTTTTCACAGGGATCAGGATACATAATTTGAACAGCACGGCAAAGCCCCTCTCCTAAGCTCCAGGCGGATACAAGCTCCTTTTTCTCGATGGTTACTGATAGCCCATTTTGGTGTGTTACACAGTTGGGAATGTCACCTGGAGAGGAGGGGGGAGAAGGGTCTCCACTTCTGTATAAAACCTCCAGGATTTTAAAAAATTTAACCTGCCTTCCCCAGCCCCCTATTTGGTAAATAAGTTAATATTTGACATGTTTGTTGTTCTCTGACCTGTTCCCCACACTGGGGATTCCTGGTCTGTAACTTGAATTGTTTCTTTCTCATATTCTTAGGTACTAGAGTTTAACTTGTCTGTCTCTCCAGCCCCCCCCCCACCCCTCCTTCCTTTGAAGAAAAAGAGCTATATTGGCTGGGGATGTGGTATAAAGAGCCCATGTCTTTGTGCATCTGACACTAGCTCTGTCGGGCAGCTCTAGGCTGAGCTCACACGTCCCATGGGAGGCATATGGAACGTTAAGTGTGTCCAAAGGAGGCAGCAGGAAGCTTGCTGTCTGGAAAGATGAGGACTTTGTGCCATGCTTACTGTCACCCAGGTGTTCCCCGCGCCCCCCCCCCCCCCCCCCCCCCCGGGGAGATTTGAGCTTTAAAGGAATATAGGATGTGGCATTCTAAGGTCACCAGGTTTTTTTTTTGTTTTTGCTTCTATATCCTTGGTGGTCCTTGGACATACAGGGTTGGAGAGTTCTTATACTATTCCAGTTCACTCCCAAGAATTGCAAATATTAGACCGCTCCATCTTGATATCTGAAAATTAGAAGTCAAATCAATTGCTAAATGCTACATATAACTCCCAGGTTCCAAAGAAGTCAAGTTCTAATGATAAAGCGTTGAGGTCTGTAGAGCAGGACTCCAGTTCAGTTCTTGCCTCCATCTGGGGACGCCATTCCTTTTCCTCTCATGTCCACCTATGTTCCTGGATGTGCTCCATTGACCACCACTGAATTCACTAGCAAAGTTGTCTCTGTTTTAAAGTGGCGGCAGCAGGAAACAAAGCACCCTGGCGTCCCTTACACCGTGCTTTGCTTCTGGTATGGTTTAACCAGGAAAGAACAAAGTGAAAATGTTTTTGGTGGGGGAGATAACTATTCCTACTTATCTCCATCATAAAGCCTTTTCTTGTGGGATATTATAGCCCTGGTGTCTTAAAGCAACCTTCATGTATATCAGTAGCATTTTACCTATAAAATCGCTAAACTGAGCCTACTAGGCCTTTTACTTAACAGATACATCTTTTAACCCATTCTTCCTCCCGTTGGTGTTTTGCAGGGTTTGGAGAGTTCTTCAGTATATAGGTCCTTAGCACTCTCCATCCTCTAGCCTCACAAGACAGAGTTGAGAGTCTTAGGTACTGAGATCTAGATGCTGTCCCAAGCTGAGCTGCTGCACTCCCTTAGACTGGTCCCCTCAAATACAAGACTGAAGCTTAATTGGGAATAGGACTCAATGGAGAAGAATCTTTCTGAAAGTTTGTGTTGAATGGGGAGGGTGAGCATTGTACATTCCCTCCTTAGGAAGAATTCCTAATCTAGGAAGTGATTCCAGGTGCTCAATAAGAGACACATTATTAGCCTTTGGGATCAAAACAAGAATGTGAATCTATTAAACTCATTGCCAACCCCCAAAATAATGATTTTTCTGAATAAACTAGTTTCTTAATCTAAATCCTACATTAACCCTATAATTCTGATTCACACTGATCCCAAGCTTTTAAATGCTAAGTGTCGGCATTTAGCATTAACTGTCTTGTTAAGCAAAGGGCCTTTTCTACAATCTCGTCCATCTCATTTCTGGTGCTACTCGAGTTGGACACAATTAGAGCTCATGGTTGCTAGAAAAGCTAGGCCTCTGATCACAGAAGCAGATAGCTTCAACCCCACTCAGTCCAGGCCTAGATAAAAGAAATTACTTTTTATCGCAACTCATTCCTTTCTCACTGTATACAGATAGTATTTTCAATGTGAATCCAAAGCTTGTCTGGTTCTCTGGAAACAATTTTTTTTTTTTTTTTGCCTTTCAGGTCCTTCACATTGTGATAATGTTGTATTTAAAAGAGAATATTTAAATGTAAAATTAAAGAAATATTCAAAAGAATGGTGTGTTACTCTTGATCTTGGCAGACCACAATCCAGTTACTTGTTAGAAAAAGGATGCCTCTCCAGCCTTATATATAAAATTAATTAGGTCAGTTAGGGATTAATGTCAACAACAGAGGTGTTTTATGATGGAAAAACAGAACGTTCTTTTTGGAGCTTCAAGAGCTTGACTTGCCTCCTATGCGCTTATGCACCTCATCGGCTGAAACAGCCTTCATCCTGCCCTGCTGAAGCTTTCCCTGTCTGTAGTCCCTACTCTTGGGGCCCAGTTTCTAATTTCATTACTTTCTATGTGTATGTACAATTTCCTATTCCTAGTTAGCATTTAAAATCCAGCAAGAGGATCAACTCAAATCAGTTCATAACTTCCATCCCATCAGAAAGTTCTATTCCATTCTCTCCCCAATAGTCAGGTTATGAGTCTCGTAAAGGAGCCTTAGCAAAATGATTAAAGTATGCATAAGTGAATTTCCAGCCACTGATTTCAGACAGTCTTTACTTGGGTTAAAAACAGGGCTTCATGCATTTACAGTAAGTTACTACAGGCCACTGATATGCCTTCACAGACAAAAGCTAAGCCCAACCTACTGTCTTGATGCAGATCTCTCCTGGTCTCCTGGGCGGGTTAGTACTGTACAGGTTTGATCCATGGCCAAAGGCAGCCATTTTCAGTTAAAGTTGGATGGCTGCAACACAGTGGAGGTAGCGAAGAGTTTAAGATCCACAGGTTGTGGCACAGACCAGAAATTAAGACAAGGGTGTGAAGGTTATAAATATTGGGTAAGCAGTCAAGAAGGACTTGTAGTTCCTTGTATCTTGTCCATTAGAATGTTCCCATACGTTATTCACTAAAAAAAAGTAAAGGTGGTAAAAGGATTTGAAAAGGAAAGAGGTTAACCCACTGAGGGGGACAAAAAAATTCCTATTTTTGGTCATCTCAGGGTTGAGGGGAGCATCATAGTGCATGCATGTAAGTGCTCTAGTTTAAGTAGTGCTGTTCCCCTCACCGGCCAGAAAATGGCTTGAACAAAAACAGCTCAAAAGAATATGGCAGTGAATAAGTCCTAGGCCAAAGGAGGATTCCCACCTGGGCCGAAGCTCACTTCCCAGAATCTGAAATTAGCATATTACAGTAACAGCCTAGTACAGTGGCTGCTTCCAGTGTCAGTTAATTCCAAGGAAGTTGGGATGAAGCTCCCAAGGGCTACCCCTGGTAAGAGGGTTTGTTTCAGTTCCAGCTCCCACGAGTGTACCACACGGAAGCTCGTGGCACCGGCTCCTCTGCCTCATACATCTAACGGCACCTAGACTCCGCCGACAAGTGCTGGTTGGTCCCACGCTGCTGGACTGACGGCAGGACAATGCCATCGCTCCATGCTCACTCAGCGCCGTGTCCCAATGTAGTTGGTGGAAAGCAGGACCACGTTGTGAAGCAAAAGAGACAGCTCAGCTTCTGAAAACACCATCAGTGTTAATGGTTTGGCCAGGGAACAGTCTGCCTTCTAACTGCCTTGGTTTACAGGTCTTGAAACTGGAGGTGGGAAGCCCAGTGCAGGGAAGTAATGACGTTAAGGGGCTGTTGTTCTCAAGTTCCCCTTCTTCATTCCAGTATCTGCATGTATGCTTTTCTTTCCTTCCACCACATATGCCTACCTACTCATCCTCATTTCTGGACTCTCTTGTGACAGCAGTAGAAAACGCAGAGATAGTAATGGTACTAAACATCACTGCCACCCTTGGGATTCTTCTGGTAGAAGCTGGTGCTCTGGGGACATTTCTCAGCTCTACGGAGATTAGCAGGCCTACCCTCATATTCACAGGCTTAAAAAACAGCAAGGCCTACCTAGCCAAAGGTTCCAAACAGGGGACCCACCAGCCTAATACCTACCCTTAGAAACTTTTTGATCAGCCAGCTGAGTGGTTTGGTTTTTATTTTGAATTTAGACTAGTACTTCTCAACTAGGACAATTTGGCTCTCCCCTCAACTGGGACATTTGGCAATGTCTGGAGACACTTTGGGTTGTCAGAACTGGGGCGAGGGGGTACTACTGGCATCTAGTGGCTATAGGCTAGGAATGTTGCTAAACATCCTATAATGCACGGGACAACCCTCAGGATAAAGCTTCAATAAGGCCAAGGTTGAGAAACTGCTTTAGACAAGCACGTGCTCATGCTCATGCTTCCACAATCCCCACTACTTACTCCATCTTGCAAGGTCCACTTCGTGACCTGCTTGTAGGCTAATGAGTCTGTGCCTTTCATTTAGACATACATGTAGATAAGGGTCTCACAGTACTCAATAATTAACTCCAAAATAATCTTAGAATAAAATACAAAAATGACTTGGATTTTGGTTATGCAATAGGGGTTTGTCTAACCTTTCAGGTTGCAGGAAATCTGCAGCCATTCTGCCAGCCAAGTTCGACACCGCTCTTCAGCAATATGGGTAGAATTCAAGCCACGAAGATAACAAGCCTGTAACACTCAGAAGAGAAAGGTCCTTAATAATCAGAGCGAGTACGCCAAGGAAGTGTAAACCTACAACCCCAAATCTCCTTTAAATTAAGTTACAACCTCATCCCAAGAGAATGGCATTCTCCATGGCAATCTGAACTATGATGACAAGCAAAGAGGCCTATATAATCTAAAACAGTAGGTCTAAAGTATAATGCCTTTTTTTTTTTTTTTTAAATCCTCACCCAAGGATATTTTCTCCATTGAGTTTTTTAGAGAGTGGAAGGGAGGAAGTGGACGGGAGAGAAAGAGAAACATCGACGTGAGAGACACATCAGTTGGCTGCCTTCTGCACGCGCCCCGACCTGGGCTGGGGATTGAGGCTGCAATCAAGGTATGTGCCTTCGGTTCATGGGCCGGTGCTCTAACCACTAAGCAAAATCGGCCAGGACTAATGTCCTTGGTTTTTGGTGGTTTTTTTAAAGTATATTTTTTATTGATTTCAGAGAGGAAGGGATAGGGAGAGATAGATTGAAACATCTATGATGAAAGAGAATCACTGATCAGCTGCTTCCTGCATGCCTCCTACTGGGGATCGCAACCTGGGCATGTGCCCTTGACCAGAATCGAACCTGGAACCCTTCAGTCTGCAGGCTGGTGCTGTATCAACTGAGCCAAACCGGCTAGGGCAATGGTCGGCAAACTCATTAGTCAACAGAGCCAAATATCAACAGTAAAACGATTGAAATTTCTTTTGAGCCAAATTTTTTAAACTTAAACTATATAGGTAGGTACACTGTTATTAACTTAATTAGGGTACTCCTAAGGCTTAGGAAGAACCACACTCAAGGGGCCAAAGAGCTGCAGTTTGCTGGCCACGGGGCTAGGGCATTGTCCTTGATTTTTGAAGGACCAGAAGAAAAGAAACATAAACCATAATGAGTGTGGACAATTCCTTCCCAGTAGTTAAGTTCACTGAGGGGGAAAAAAAGACCTAGAAATGAGGTAAGAGAATAAAGAGCTTGGATTTTGCTATAACAAGCAAGACATAACGAGCTCTCTGTAAGCTCCCAGTCCTGAAAACTCAAAAGTCCACCAAGAATTGAGGGTTGATATTGCAATGAAGCTCTTACCGATTTCACTTCCTGATCAGTCAGCTGGTTAATCCCCAGCTTTGCCAAAGCCTTGTCTAGTTGATGAATCACAGTGGTATGAGTCTTTAAACGATGTCTTAACAAGGGAGAAGGCAGGTAAGTTGTGAGAAGCATGGCTCGACTCAAGGCTTTCTGTGATATTAACAACACAGGAGGAGCAAGTCAACATAGTAGTATTACTGCAAGCAAAGACCTGAAGTTGTGGAAAAGAGAAAGCCTTAGAGTACTCACTATTTGCGAAGTATGGAGTTGATTCATGCCCAAAGGATGGTTAGAGAAACTCTTTCTCAGAGCTAGGATCTCATGTATTGCTGGGTGGGTACCACGCTGTATCTTGGGAGAGGTAAGAGATTGGTAGATGTTAACAAAGTCCTGACTAGCCTTCCTATCTGATTTTCATGCACACTGGATCTAACAAGATTCCTAGTTTGGAACAAGGGTTAATTGGAGGAATACCTTGGTGCACAGCTCTGTCATATGCCACCGGAGTCCTTCATCAGAAATGAGAGGGATAACTTTTTCCAAATAAGAAAGGATTTCTGGGTGGGACTTTTTCCGGATATCATGATAAATATGTAAGAAATCAATTTGTTGCTTTGGGGTCCAGAAATGTCTAATCAGCAGTTGCCTAGGAAACAGGTACCTGAAAGGAAAGGAACAACAAAGTCACTTGCTGACATTGGCATCTTTCAAAGCGAATAAAGAAAGCATTTGACAGACATGAATAATAAAAAGAGATGGAGACACTGCTTTGCTAACACACTGTCTCAGATCAAGGTTTAAGATACACTAAAGTACAATTTCAAGCAACATTACTGAGGTTCTGTGAAAGGAAGTAGTAGTGGAAGCAGCACACATGCAGCAATCAGATAAAATGACTCTTTTTGAACTAAAGCAAGTGAAGCACATATTTTGGACAGAATTACAGAGCTGGACATGGTATGTAATGTTGACAACCTCAAACAGTAACACAGTCCTTAGGTGTATACAAAATGGAAAAGACAAATTTGCTTTTAATTAATTTCTCTATTTGTGAGGTGGGTTTAAAACATGGCCATAGCCCTAGCAGGTTTGGCTCAGTGCATAGAGCATCAGCCTGTGGACTGAATGGTCCCGGGTTCGATTCTGGTCAAGGGCACATGCCTGGCTTGCAGGCCCGATCCCCAGTAGGGGGGCGTTCAGGAGGCAGCCAATCAATGATTCTCTCTCATCATTGATGTTTCTATCTCTCCCTTCCTCTCTGAAATCAATAAAAATGTTAAAAAAACAAAACAAAAAACATGGCGACAAATTCTCTGGCACTCCTCTTATTGAGAAATGTCTCTTTTTAAAACCTGGGTAACTGACTCAACCAATAGAAGAGAGCAGAAGTGAGTCTTGACCCCAAGGCTAGGTTATAAAAGGCCATGCAGATTCTTATTTGCTGACACACTCACTCTTAAACCAGCAGTCGGGTATCCCTCGAGGAATCCCAGATTGAAGAGGGTGTAGGCGGGGCGGAGGGGACCCCTCTCCCATACACTAATTTCGTGCACTGGGCCTCTAGTTATTAATAATGAACTACAGCATTCGCTAATGACTGATTACTATAATCGTGTTGCATTCATTTCCCTTACGCGCCTTACACCCAGGCGCACCATTTCTCTCCATTAATACTAACAGCAAATATTTTAGCAGTGGATTGCCATGTCATTAGTCTTGTACTGACTTGTTTGTTGTGCTCAACAGGAAATATTTCACTTTCAGACAACAAGAAAAATAGGTTTATTTGTGTTACGCTTATTAATTTGTGCAGTTATTCCGTGTCTGGTAAGTTAATGTTCAAGAAAAAATATTAACTTTTATTAAAATGTTCTATTATTGCCGAAACCGGTTTGGCTCAGTGGATAGAGCGTCGGCCTGCGGACTGAAAGGTCCCAGGTTCGATTCCAGTCAAGGGCATGTACCTGGGTTGCGGGCACATCCCCAGTAAGAGATGTGCAGGAGGCAGCTGATTGATGTTTCTGACTCTCTATCTCTCTCCCTTCCTCCTTTGTATTCAGCATGTCTCTATCGAAATAAACCTACATTTCTATGAAAATTGAAGCTTTTGGTTTTTTGCGGCCCACATAAACCTAAACCTTGTTTATTTGAACTGTGCTAGCCTTTGAGTTTGACATTACCTACATCTACAGCTGTTTAAGAAACCTAGGTATGCCCTAGCTGGTTTGGCTCAGCGGATAGAGCATCGGCCTGCGGACTCAGGGGTCCCAGGTTCGATTCCGGTCAAGGGCATGTACCTGGGTTGTGGGCACATCCCCAGTGGGGGGTGTGCAGGAGGCAGCTGAATCGATGTTTCTCTCTCATCAATGTTTCTAGCTCGCTATCCCTCTCCCTTCCTCTCTGTAAAAAAATCAATAAAATATATTTTAAAAAAAAAAAGAAACCTAGGTATTACTGAGTGGCTTTTATGAACCTTGGGCTAATGCTAATGAAAAGATTAGAGCAGGAAGTTTGATAACTTCTGCCTAGCTTCTGAAATGGAAAGTTCTTCTTACATAAATTTTTTTATCTTCAATATGCCAGGGAGAGAGAAGTCTATACTCACATTAGCAAGAAGACCAGGTAGTTGGCAAAGGGTGGAATGGAAATAATACCCAGAAAAAAACACTTGGTGATATCTCGACGAAACTAAGCAGAAATAAACACAGATGCAGTTTTAACCCACATTCTTAATGAACAATCCCTCCATCCCACTGTGCAGTAAACTCCTGCAGCCCAGCAAAGGATCAAGGTTATTGCTATCTACATGTAGTTGGTAAGTTCCTTGAGGACAGAGCCCTGATTGACTTTTGTATCCCAAATATTGTCTAATACGTACAGGCACCCTGACATTATACCAAATACCTCAGTGAGTTCTTCCTGCTCTGCAGAACGGGTCCTAGAATCTTACTCTCAGCTCCAAAACAACTCCAGTCACCACCCAATATTACTTTCCTGCTGCCTTTTAGAACCTTGCAAATTTTTATATGTTCAGAAAAAAACTGACTTTTAGTGTTTACAATTTTTATTTAGGAAGCATGCCCGAAATTCCATGCAGCTCTGCTATGGAGGACTATACCTCTGAAAGAATCCAATTCTGACAAATAGTCTGATACTCTCATTTAGTTCAATACTTTAATCTTGTGGCAAAGGGCAAAAGCCTGATCAGTGGGGAACAAAATAGAAAAGAAAATAACTTGAGATCTTGGTTAATTTCTATTACCTCACCATGCACTCTGGATGTTTGTCCCTGGCCCATACCTGTCTCAAATGCTCCATCTCCCGGTATGAAAGTTGATGAAACTTTACATTGTGCTTCACCATATCTGCCTTTATTCTTCTAGACTTTTTGGCATCAGCCCATAACTTCTGCAATCCTGCCTCATTAAAGTAGAGGACAGAGTGTGATGTTACCCCAGTTTGAATCATACCACAGCTTCCTATTTCAAGTTTACCCACCGTACACAAACTTGTCCCTGCCCAACATTACTCTACATCAAAGCTCCCATCTAGGTCACTTGAAATTCTTGTGAGGCCAACCTGTATCTCTTTTCTCATCCCTTTTTCCCGCAGCACATCACTTCTCTTCTAGCCAAGTGGGCCTTCTGTGATCTACTATGGAATGGTCTCCCTTTTGTGGTTCATTACTCATTCCTTTTTTTAAAAAATTCTCACCAGAGGATCTTTTTTCCATTGATTTTTTTAAAAATATATTTTTATTGATTTTAGAGAGGAAGGAAAAGCGAGAAAACGAGATAGAAGCATCAATGATGAGAGAATCATTGATCAGCTGCCTCCTATACTCCCCCCACTGGGGATTGAGCCCAAAACCTGGGCATGTGCCCTTGACTGGAATCGAACCTGGGACCTTTAGGTTCACAGGCTGACACTCTATCCACTGAGGCAAACCAGTTAGGGCTCCATTGATTTTTATGTTGTGTTTTTCCCCCACTGATTTTTAGAGAGAGTGAAGGGAGGGAGGGAAGGGGAATGAGGGAAGAGGGAAGAGAGAAGAGAAGAAAGGAAAAAGAGAAACATGGATGTGAGAGAGACACATCAATTGGTTGCCCATGTATTTGGCCTTGACCAGAATCAAATGCTTGACCCTTTGCTGTGCGGGCCAATTCTCTAACCACTGAGAACACCGGCCAGGGAGTCATTCCCTTTTTAGAATAAAAATTCAGGGGACGGGGGTGGGCTGGAGAGGGTTAATGGGGGAAAAAGAGGGACATATGTAATACTTTCAACAATAAAGATTTTAAAAAATAAAATAAAATAAAAATTCGCCCTGGCTGAGTGGCTCAATTGATTAGCGTATCATCCCGTACACCAAAAGGTTGTGGGTTTGACTTCTGGTCAAGGCACATACCTAGGTTGCGGTTCGATCCCAGTTGGGGGTCGTAAGGTAGGCAACTGATGTTTCTCTCCCTCTCTCTCTAGAAAATCAATAAAAACATATACTCGGGTGAGAATTAAAAAAATAAAAATTCAAAGTTCACTAACCTCAGGAAGTCTTGCTCAATCAACCCTATGTATTCCCTAACCAGATATTTATCTCCTTTCTAGAACATTTGTATAATTACTGTAATTCAACATATTTCTATGATTGCATTTTGCTCTTCATTACATAATTCTTACATTTACCTAGAACTTTAGTTTTTAAAAATGCTTTCCTATTTATGAGTGAAATGATAGAATGTCTAGGTTGGCTTCAAAATAATACAGGAGAAGGCATGTTTAGAAATGAAATAAGATTGGCTGAAGTGAGGTTGAGTACACTGGAGTTCATTATATTATTTTCTCTACTTTTGTGTATGTCTAAATTTTTCCACAATAAAAGGCTTAACAACAAACCAACCAAAATGCTTTCACACCCTTTTCTATTTGATCCTAGTTATAAAGTGGGAGCAGACAAAGCAGCCATTTTTTATCTCCACTTTACAAATACGGGTAAGCAATTTGCAAATCCACAAAGCTAGTAATTATGATACTATGTGGTAGTTTATTGTAACTGTTATTATGACAAAAGTATAGAGAATAATAACAGTTATAGTACATTTATTGAGCACTTACTAAGAATCAGGCCTTAAATACTTTACATGTATCAATTTATCTCCACAACCATGAGGTCAACAGGTAGGTTCCATTATTATCCCCAATTCACAGGTAAGAAAACCAAAGGACAGCCCGGCCCGTGTGGGTCACGGGTTGAGCGTGGATCTATGAACCAGGAGGCTGCAGTTGGAGTCTGGGTCAGGGCACATGCCCAGATGTCTGGCTGGGTCCCCAGTGGGGGGTGTGCAGGACGCAGCCGATCAATGATTCTCTCTCATCACTGATGTTTCTGTCTCTCTCTCCCTCTCCCTTCCTCTCAGAAGTCAATAAAAATATATACTAAAAAAAAAAGAAAAAGAAAAAACCCAAAAGACAGAGGTTAAGTAACTGGTCCAATCAGCCAGTGACAGCTGGGATTTGAACCCAGGCACTCTGGCTCTCGAGGGGACCGCTGACACTATACCATCTCCTGGTGACTAGCAGAGCTCTGATCGGGACCAAAACAGTCCGAAACCAAGTACTACAGCACTATTTCCACCACATGCTGCCTCGGACAGATCTGTGATAAGCATTAAACCACATTTCTTATGGGCCAAGTCAACTGCTAAATCAAAGGGCAGGTCCGTGCAGCCATAGATCCCTGCCCTTATGCACGACAAAGAACTTCTACTATAGTCAAGTGTGTGGTTAAAGAAGTGCAAAAATACCTATATTCCCTCTGGATATTGTTAGAAGTTGTTTCTAATAAAACCTTTCTAGCAACATCCTCAGGAAGTGCTAACTTATAACATTAAGTTTAATACTCAAGCATTTGTGAAACATAAGACATCCCAGCTCACGTTCCCAGAGCAAAACCTGCCAATTATCTTGCTCGAACCCTCTGACATCGCCCGCGAGTCGGTTCCGCCGGTTCCCGTTTCCGTTTTGTTTTTACCTTTTGTGAAGGTGGTGTACAGGAGATAGAAGCGGGGGAAATTACGTTCCAAAAACCGATGGTATTTCCCATTGATCACTTTGGTCTTAGTCGCCACGTACGAGATTAAGCTCTTCACATCTGCCTTCGGGGAAAGGTGGAGCTTTGCAGACCTACAGGGAGGACCAGAGAGACCGTCTGGGAGTCCGCCCCAGCGCCCAGCCCGCGGGGCGTCCCCAGCGTCACACGCGGGCCGCGGAGAACGTTTGCCAGACCCGAAACCTCCGGATACCAGGAAGGTCTTGGGATCCAGAGAGAAGCAATCACACCGAGAAAAACACAACCGGGGCAGACGACAGGCTGGGCAGCAAGGGGTGGGGGGCA